TGTGGCATGGAGTCAGTTCCGACTCCTAGCGACAGGGTATCCAAGGATATAAATCTTCATGGGAGCAGAAAGCCTCATCTTTCTCCCACGGAGAAGCTGGTAGTTTTGAGCCGCTCACCTTGCAGTTCATGGCCTGATTCATAACTACTATGCTACCAAATAGTACTAATATTTTACTTCATTAAACTTTGCTTGTCTTTTTCAAAATCAAGTCTTGCAATGTTTTTCTCTTCTGATAACTTGGGCCTAGCTCCTAGATGACTAGAAAAGTAGTTTTGTGATGAAACATGAACTGAACTACTTACCCACTGTTTGGAAGTTAAGTGCAACCATCTGACAACCTGCATTCCAGAAAAGCTGAGGCATATAGTTGGAGGAATCCACACGAGTTCCTTTTGGATATATTCTGCTCAACTGCATTTTGTTATATCTGGACCATCATGTTAAGTAGTCAATACAGTTACAAAACGAGGCAACAATTTTAACCGAGAGGCCACCCTCCATCTTTTTCCATTGGGGAAATGAAATAAATATTGATGATCTCATTGAGCTGGTAAGTGAAATATGGAAAAGAACAAACAAATCCCAAAACAAAACAAAACAACCGTTTCTGAACAAACAGAGTAAATGTGATTTTTATAATGTAAACATAACTTTTTGTAAGGTCTTATGGGTAAGAACTAGTTGAGTCAAAGTCAATGAGAAAGACTTGATGATTAAGGACACATGAAGATACTGGAAAGCGTCAAGGCATGAGGGAAGATGACTCTGTTTAGCAGAAGCAGATAACATGAACTGTATACCTTATTCTTTTTTGGTTGAAATATATACAACAAAATAGAAAACCTTTCAACAATGTTTAAATGTACAGTTCATGAATAATGGTTACATCACATTACGTCACCATTCTCACTATCTCTGTTGTTGTTGTGAAGTACCGTGGAGTCAGTTCCGACTCATAGTGAACCTGCATAGGGTTTCTGAGGCTGTAAATCTTTACGGGAGCAGAACACCTCATCTTTCTGCCACGGAACAGCTGGTAGTTTTGAACTGCTGACTTTGAGGTTATCAGACCAATTCGTAACCACTATGCTACCAGAGCTCCACCCATTTTGTTGCCCCACCACTGAAGTTCTCATCAGGAGTCCTGATGTGATGCTGTAGGATAAGCCCTGAACTGCTAACTGCAAGGTCAGCAGTTCACACTCCTCACTTGCTTCTTGGAAACCCTATACAAGATCTCTGAGTAGAAATCAACTGGATAGCACTTAACAACAACTAAGTTCTTATCTGAGCTTTAGAGTGACATTGTCATTTTAATCTTATCTAGATAATTCTTTAAAAGGATACAATGCTCAAGGGAATCATTCTTTATTGAGCTAAAGTAGTGTTTAGTTTAAAGAACTACAGAAATACTATCCTTGCCAGGAGACCCCAAGAAATGGGTGGTGCCTGACTAGAATTACTGATCCTTTGGTTCAGGAACTCAACAGATGGATCTTAATGAAAAGGAGAAAAATCGTGGAATGGAACTTCAAATTCTTATTGGAACACAGGGTATATTGAGATTGGAGGAACTCCTGAATCAATTGCCTAGAAACAACTTTAAATCAGCAACCAAAACTATAACATAAAGTCATCTATATACGTGTAGCTATTTTTGAAGTGTTCTGTGCTCATTTTCTTAACCTTCTTTGGGAAGGTTATTTGTCAAGACCATGGTACTCTTTGTATGTAAACTGTAGCATGGAGGTCTGTCTGATCTCATTTTATAATTGGTTCCGATCATCATCAGTTTTACAAAGATATGTCTTTAAAGTACAATTGACTAGTTACTATTATCAATTACTGTTAGGTAAAGGTGCACCTGACCCAAGTCATGGTATTTTTAATAACCTCACATGCATGAGAAAGCTGGTCAGTGAATAAGGAAAACCACAGAAGAACTGATGCTTTTGAGTTATGGTGCTGGAGGACAATATTGAAAGTGCCATGGGCTGCCAAAAGAACCAGTAGATCTGTGTTGGAAGAAGTGCAACCCAAGTGCTCCTTGGAGGCCAGGATGGCCAGAGTTTGTCTCTCATATTTCGGACATATTGTCAGGAGGGACCAGTCGCTGGAGAAGGATATCATGTTTGGTAAAAGGTGGAGGGTCAGAGAAAAAGAGTAAGACCCCAACGAGATGGATCAGCAAAGTGGCAGCATCAATAGGCTCAAGCGTGGCAACAATAGTGAGGTTGGCCCAGGATAAGGCAGCATTTCATTCTGTTGTGCATAGGGTTACTATGAGTCAGTACTGACTCGATGGCACCTAACAACAACAACAAAGTCTAGCTTAAGAATCTCAACTTGGGCTGGGAGTTTGAAAATTGACTCTGAAATTTGCCAACTCTAAGGTTTAGGGCTCTGGTAGCGTTGTGGTTATGAATCAGGCTGTGAACCTTAAGGTCAGCAGTTCTAAACTACCAGCTGTTCCACTGGAGAAAGATGAGGCTTTCTGTTCCCATAAAAATTTACAGCCTCGGAAACCTTGTACGGGGTCGTTATGAGTCGGAACCAACTCCACGCCACATAAGCACCACCACCATGGTTTGGGACAAGTTATTTCACTTTTCTCTGCCTCTGTTTCCTCAACTAAAAGTAAACTGAACAACGACTACAACACAGGGCTATTGTGAGGGTTCCATATGACATATAATGAGAGTGATTATATGACAATAATGACAATAGTTTTTACAAAGTGATTTTGTTTGTGGAGTCTACACTTGTTCTCTCTCCTAATGTTGATGGATTTTAAGTTACTTTTATTATTATTAAATTTCAGGACTTGTTTCATGAAACTGAGCTCTTTGGAATATTGAATATTACTTGTTTTTCTTTTTCTTTTGATTCATGGCTAATAATAAATAGGCTTTGTTGTGAGTAGTATCAACAAAGCCATCATAAGTAATAGATATTTATATTATCACCATTATTATCATGACTATTTTTTAACTAAACATCTATCACATGTGAACCCCCAAGTCAAGTTTTAGAAGCCAAAACACACACACTTTACATATATCTATAACATATATATTAAAGTATACACACACATACAGTTTACACATAACCCACACAGCAAAGCCATAGAACTGACCATATTCATATTTTACAGATCAGAAAAGTTAGATAGATTCAGTAAATTGTCAGTGTAGCCAGAGCTTGATGGTGTGAAGGTTGGAAGAAGTGTTTTTGAAATCGGGACTCTGTGTACTATTCTATGGCGAGTTCTCTTTTTCATTTGTGAACCCATCCCATCCAGCATAGCACACAACTCTTATCAGAAGCTACTTACCACACCCAGTTTATAGACTTAAGCCATTTAATGCATCTTTCTCCTTACTAGAAAAATAATTAAATAGCTCATTTAATATTTCAGTTGTGTTAAGTGAGCAGGCATTCGTCAAATCAAGGATACTCTACAAATTCCACTGGAGACTTCGTAAGCTGCTCAAGTCCTTTAGTTTCCACGAAGGATGACATTTCGAAACTTTTATTTCTCTCTGAGGCAACAAAAAAGAAAAAGAAAAAAGAAAATTGAATGATAATTTATAATATTATAAAGAAAGTACATAAATGTTTGATGAAATTGAAAGCAATCAATTCCTAGCATAGCTTTATTTTCAGTTTTTGGCTTTTCTTTCCCCCCACTTAGTGAATTATTTATCTGGAAGATAAGTTGGGGTCTGTTAGACATCATTTTTAATATTTACTACTTGGTTCCAATTCGTTTATGCTTGTGCAAGTTGGGGACATGGTGGCACAAAGATAAAGAGGTGAGTTTTAGATGTGGATAGTGTAGCAAGGAAGAAAGATGAGGCAGTCTGTTCCTGTCAAGATTTACAGCCTTGGAAACCCTAGGGAGCAGTCCTATAGGGTCACTATGAGTTGAAATCGATTTTGGTGATAGAGGATTCATTTTTTTTTTTTGTTTCATAATGTGGCAAAGGAGCCCCTGTGTGCTCAAGGATGAACATAAAAGTTGGTGGTTCAAACCCACCCACTAGGTCTTTGATTTGCTTCTATAAAGATCCTAGCCAAGAAAATCCTATGGAACAGTTCAACTCACCCTAAGTCAGAGTTAATGAGATGGCAACAGGTTTGGCTTGGTTTTGAAATAGTGTGACAATTAAGACCCTGTAGAATCTTTTGTTCTAAGTCCATTTCTTGGGGTCATTTCTGGGATTCATGAAGAAGACCCTGGGAATGTTTGTACCAAATACTGTCTATCTCTTTCATACCCACTTTATCAACTTCTCAGTTTGTGTATCTCAGTGTTTACTCTATTGCTTCAAACAATGGTGACGCTAGAATTATGGCATTTCAAAGCAGAAGGACCCTTGGAAAATTTCCAGTGTGATGGTCTCGTGTTCCACATTAGATAACTCAGACCACGGAGGTGAGTAAGCTAAATGGCTCAGACTTTTTAAACAGAAGAAAAACATTTTCAAAGTGAAGTCTAAGCTTCCAGTTAGAATGACAGAAAAAACTCAAAATTTTCTTGGTATAAATACACTGAAAGTCCAACTTTTTGCCAATTAAAAATGAAATTGCTATATTAAGTGCCAGACAGTATACTCAGATGGTGGTGGTGGTTGTGTGCCATGGGGTCAGTTCTGGTTCATCGCGAGCCTGTATAGGATTTCGGAGGCTGTAAATCAGTAGGGGAGCAGAAAGCCTCATCTTTTTCCTGTGGAATACCTGGTAGATCTGAACTGCTGACTTTGCGGTTAGTATCCCAGTTTGTAATCCACCACACTGCCAGGGCTCCTTGAACCCTCAGATATGTCTCCACTGTTTCAATTAAGTTTCTGTTGAGACATTTTTTCCTCTTTGAGACACTCACCTTCCATCATCAAAACCTCATTCTCCTTAATCCTCCTCAGATTCCATCTTTATGCACTGCTTCACCTTTCCCAATGGAATCAATTCGAAGGTAAACTCTTACTTCTCATGTTTGGCTCAGTCATAAATCTACTTTCATATGAATAATTCTAACTAAATTAAAATCAGCATTAACAGTTCTTTGTAAAATATGTGCTGTATTCCTCTCAAAACCAATAGTGACATAAGACCTAACAATTAATATTATCCAGTGCATTAAAAATGTGAAAAATATTTATTTTACCAGTTATATTTGAGCACACTGATTGCATACTAACAGGCTGATTTCCCTGGGTAATTTCAAAGTTTAACTGGAAAACTCTTAAATAAAAAAATCTGTATTAGGATTTAAGAATCATAGTTAGGTGATGTTGCGTCTGTACCTTAAATCAGTTTATGAAGTGCATGCTGTTGTCAGGTGCCATCAAGTCATTTACAACACCTAGCACAACAGAACGTAACACTGCCCGGTCCTACACCATTCTCACAACTGTTACTAAGCTTGAGCCCATTGCTGCTGCCACTGTACCAATCCATCTCATTGGGAGTCTTCCTCTTTTTCACTGACCCTCCGCTTTACCAAGCATGATGCCCTTTTCCAAGGACTGGTCCCTCCGGATAGTATGTCTGAAGTATGAGAGACAAAGTCTTGTCATCCCGGCTTCTAAGAAGCATTCTTGCTCTACATCTTCCAACACAGGTTTGTTAGTTCTTCTTGCAGTCCTGTACTTTAAATTTTGTCTCCAATACCATAACTCAAATGCATCAGTTCTATGGCCTCCCTTATTCATTGTCCAACTTTCACATGCATATGAGGCTATTGAAAATATCATTGTCAAACACACCTTAGTTCTCAAACTGATACCTTGATCATGAACATTCTAAAGAGGTCTTTTGCAGCAGATTTGCCTAAGTGCATGCTGTTGTTGTTGTTGTTAAGCGCCGTCAAGTCGGTTCCGACCCTGAACAGCGTTTCTAAGGCTGCAAATCTTTACAGGAGCAGAAAGCCTCATCTTTCTCCCATGGAGTAGCTGGTAGTTTCGAACTGCTAACCTTGTTTGCAGCCCGATTCGTAACCACTACGCTACCAGAGCTCCTTGCCTAAGTGCATAAGTATTATTAGATAGCCATACTGACATATACTCACTTCTGAGGTTATAGTAGTTACATGTTTGTCTTCTAAATATTTTTGATTACCAATTAACTTTTGTGAAAATTAATCATAAATATTCTCAGGGGAAAAAAAATGATATAAAACCCGAAGAGGAAAGCATTTGCATATAAGTTTGGCATTTGTTACCAAACATTTGGTGGATGCTGAGAGAATTAAATTAATTAGCTCCTTGTCATGCTTGGCCACTTGTCGAGGACCTTTTAATCAATGAATTAGAAAAAATGCATTCTAAAGCTAGTGAATATTATAATAATATAAAAATGACTATTTTAGGATTTCTCAAATTTAACAACTTGTGGTAGGCAACATCATAAATTAAAATACCTAACATACTGAAATAGTGATATGTAAACTGGTTTGGAAGTGTAATGCTTTGCTGTAGAGATCTAGATACCCCATGTTACTAAGTTCACCCTGTTTTCATGAAATTATACAGATAAGTGTGATATGTAGAGAATTGGATTTTGATATATTGATAAAATTATCATTTCAATAGGCTCCTATGTTTAAGCAGAAACTCTGTTTTTAAGACCACATCTTTAAAAACAGATAAAACAGCCTGAAAATATATAAATGATAATGTCATTTTTCTCTAGTTAGAGGAAAGATGATATTTTTGTTTGCATCCAATATGAATGTCTAGTTGGATAGAGGGAAAACATAAAAAGTGATGTGAATTATATATATTTTCCTAAATATACGAAACATGTGCTGGACAAATGGAGTGTGGGTGAATCAGTGAATTTGTTTCTATTTCTAGTACCAGGACTGACAAAGTCTCTGGTTGCTTTCCTTCTAAGGGATGGAAAGACAGTTTATTTAACATTGTCACTTAGATAACTGATGGATCTCACTGTGTTGTGAAGAATAAACCCAAACAAAAGTAAATGTAAAACACTCATCTAATCCCTTTTAGATGACCAAGGGTGGCTTGTAGTCCTATTAAGCATTTTGGAGGAACATCAAGGGATATTTCTTCTTACGTTTTTTCAAATGTATGTATTTAAGATAACGGTATATGTTTTAATGTGCATATTTAAAATAAGCCGATTCCTATTTAAAAATGTATCATCACAGAATAGTTAGTTCTAGGAAGAGTAACATTGTTTGGTCTAATTACCTTGCACTTAAAACATACTCTTTATATGTTACATTCTAGGTTTTCCTTTAGGGGAAACTTACTTTTTGAAATTTCAAATGACTCAAACTTGACCGGCTGAATATAGTTCACCAGGTTAGACATCTCTTCTGTGGCCATGGCTTCGCTCCCAGCAGTCCCCTGGAGGCGGAAATAAAAATAATATTGCCAGTGTCAGCATTACATTACAGGGGGTTATGTTCCCAGGGCAATCAGTTGGCCTGTAGGAGCAGAAAAATGTTCCCCGTGTTCTGAAAAGAGGGGCCTTGTGGCACAGTGGCTAAAGTACTTGGTTGCTAACCAAATGGCTGGTAGTTGGAACCTACAAGCTGTTTCGCAGGAGAAAGAAGAGGCAGTCTTGCTTCTGTAACTATACAGCCTGGGGAACTCTAACGGCGCCTCTACTCTGTTCTATAGAGTTGCTAAGGGTCGGGATGGACTCAACAGCAGTGGGTTCTTTGGTCTTTTGAAAATAATTATTCCCAATAAGGAATTCATTACAGGAGACAGAAAAAGCAATAGCTCCTTTACAAACGCGAGGGGCAGAAGAGGGAGGTTTCGTTAAGCTACAGTGTCCTTTCGCTAGCAGCGTATTAAATTTCACAAAGCATTGAGCTGTATCTCATCTTCTACAGCAGAGAGCCCAGAGACGATGTATATGGGTAATAAATTAAAAACTCACTGTATAATAAGAACATTATTGTGTAGGTGATGACCAGATTAACTGACAGTTCTTTAAAAAATGTGGGAGGTTGCGTTGTTGTTGGTGGTTGGTGACAGTGTGTTGTGGCGTCAATTTTAACTCATAGCGACCCTGTATAGGATTTTCTGAGGCTGTATATCTTTACGGGAGCAGAAAGCCTCATCTTTCTCCCAAGGAATAGCTGGTAGTTTCAAACTGCTGACCTTGAGGTTAGCAGCCCGACTCATAACTACTAAGGATGGACAAATAACTATCGCTTTTCTATATAAAGTTTTCTTTCTCCCTTTCTTAAGTATGTGTTAGACAAGGCAGGGATTAACAGCCGAGGTGCTAGATCTAAATGACCTGATTTTGAAGATCAAGCCCACCACTTATAATCTAGGCAGCCAACTTCAGGCAAATTATGTTATTATTCAGTGCCCCAGTTTAGTTATCTGTAAAGTTAACTAATTACCAGTCTCTGTAGCATACGGGGAACTCCTGGTATGGCACAGTAGGATCTGGACTTTTGAACCACAAGGTCAGCAGATTAAACCAAGAGCTGCTCCACGGAAACCTTATAGAGGATGGCTATGAATCAGAATCAACTCTATGGATACTTAACAACAACATAGCATATGGGAAGGATTCTTTATGGAGCCGTGGAGTAAGCACTGCACTGCTAACCACACCACCACTCATCAGTCAGTTTGTCATACTGTGGAGGCTTGTGCATTGCTGTAATTCTGGATACTATGCCGCAGCTATTTTAAATAACGACAGGGTCATCCATGGTGGACAGGTTTCAGCTGAGCTTCCAGACAAAGACAGACTAGGAAGAGGGAGGAATGCACTACCTCTGAATATTTTGTCACTGGAAACCTTATGAATAGCAGTGAAACGCTGTCAGCACCAGAGTATTGTCAGATATAGTGCCAGAAGAGGAACCCTTCAGCTTGGAAGGCAATCATACATACAACTGGGAAGAGAGCTGCCTCCTCAAAGTAGAATGGAGTAAAGCTTTAGGGATCTTCATTGGCGATGGGGCACAACTCAAAATGAAGAGAAATAACTGTAAACATCCATTAATAATTGGAACATGGAATATACTAAGTATGATTCTAGGAAAATTGGAAATTGTCAAAACTCAATAGAATGCATAAATATCCATATCCTAGGCATTAGTGAGCTGAAATGAACTGTTGTTGGCCATTTTGAACCTAACAATCACATATTTTACTATGCCGGAATGAAAAATTGAAGAGGAATAGAATCACATTCATCACCAAGAAGAACATATCAAGATCTGTCTTGAAGTACAACTCTGTCTGTGATAAGATAATATCCATACGCCTAAAGGAAGACCAATTAATACCACTAGTATTCAAATTCACGCACCAACCACTAAAGCCAGTGATAATGAAAGTGAAGAATTTTACTAGCTTCTTAACTTTGAAATTAATCAAACATGCAATCAAATGTATTGACAACTATTGGCAATTGGAGTGAAAAAGTTGGAAACAAAGAGAAAGGATCAGTAGATGGAAAATATTGCCTTGGTGATACAAATGATGCTGGAGATCATATGATACAATTTTGCAAGACCAATGAATTCTTCATTGCAAATACCTTTTTTAAACAGCATAAAGGACGACTATACACATGGGCCTCACCAGATAGAATAAACAGAAATCAAATTAACTACATCTAAGGAGCTCTGGTAGCGTAGTGGTTACGAATCGGGCTGCGAACCTTAAGGTCAGCGGTTCGAAACTACCAGCTGCTCCGCGGGAGAAAGATGAGGCTTTCTACTCCCGTAAAGATTTACACCCTCGGAAACCCTATACAGGGTCGCTATGGGTCGGAACCGACTCGATGGCACATAACAACAACAACAACATGGAAAGAGACAGTGAAAAACTCCATTTCAGCAGCCAAACCAAGGCCAGGGCAGACTATGGAACAGACCATCGATTGTCCATATGCAAATTCAGGCTGAAGCTGAAGAAAATTAAAACAAGTCCACAAGAGCCAAAACATGACCTTGATCATATCCCATCTGAAGTTAGAGATTATCTGGAGAACAGATTTGATACATTAGACACTAAAGACCAAAGACCAGAAGAGTGGTAGAATGACATCAAGAACATAATATAGGAAGAAAGCCAAAGTTCATTAAAATGACAAGAAAGAAGGCAAAAATCAAAATGGATGTGAGAAGAGTCTGAAACTTTCTCTCCACCATAGAGATGCTAAAGCAAATGGATAAAATGAGGAGGTAAGAGAGCTAAATAGAAAATTTCAAGGGGCAATTTGAGAAGATAAAGTCAAATATTACAATGCAATGTGCAAATACCAAAAGGAGTTGGAAAACCAAAAGGAATAAACACTCAGCATTTCTCAAGCTTAGGGAACTGAAGAAAAAAGTCAAGCCTTGACTTGCAATATAGAAGGATTCTATGGACAAAATATTGAAAGATGCAGAAAGCTTCAAAAGAAGATGGAAGGAATTCACAAAGTCACTGTACCAAAAATAAACAGTCAATGCTCAACCATTTCAAGAGGTAGCACATGATCAAGAGTCTATGATACCAAAGGAAGAAGTCCCAGGTGCACTGAAGGCATTGGCAAAGAACAAGACACTGGGAATTGATGGACTATAAATTGAAATCTTTCAGCAAACTGCGGCAGCACTGGAGGTATTCACTCATCTCTGCCAAGAAAATTGAAAGACAGCTTCCTGGCCAGCTGACTGGAAGAGATCCATACTTGTGCCCATCCCAGAGAGAGGTGATCCAATGGAATGCAGAAATTATCGAACAATATCATTAATATTGCATGTAAGTAAAAAATTTTGCTAAACATAATTCAAAACCAGTTGCAACCATACATTGATATAGAACATCCGGAGGTTCAAAGCAGATTCAAAAGAGGACATGGAATGAGAAATATTATTGCTGATGTTAGATGGATATTGACTGAAAACAGAATGACAGAAAGATGTTTACCTATGTTTTATTGACTATGCAAAGGCTTTTAATTGTGTGGATCATGACAAGCTATGGACAATGTTTCAGAGAATGTGTATTCTGGAACACTTAATTGTATTCATGAGAAACTTGTACATAGACCAAGAGGCAGTTAGTTGTTCAAACTGAAAAAGGGAACACCAAATGGTTTAAAATTAGGAAAGGTGTGCACCGGGGTTGAATTTTTTCATCATACTTATTTCAACTGTATGCTGAACAAATAATCTGAGAAGATGGATTATATGAAGAAAAACATGACATCAGGATTGGAGGAAGACTCATTAACAACCTGTGTGATATGCAGATGATATAACCTTGCTTTGGGAAAGTGAAGAGGACTTAAAATACTTAATGATGAAGCTAAAAGACCACAGACTTCAGTACGGTTTGTACCTCAATATAAAGAAAATGAAAATCCTCACCACTGGACCAATAAACAACACCCATATAAATGGAGAAAATATGGAAGTTTTCAAAGACTTTATTTTGCTTGGATCAACCATCATCAATCATGGAAGCAGCAGTCAAGAAATTAAACAATATATTTCATTAGGCTAATCTGTTGCACAAGACCTCTTAAATGATGAAGAGCAGAGATGTCAGTTTGATGACTAAGATGCCTCTGACGCAAGTCATGGTATTTTCAATTCCCACATCTTCAAATCCCACATCTTCATATGAATGTGAAATTTGGACAGTGAATATAAGGAAGACTGTAGAAGAACTGATGCATTTTAGTTATGTTGTGTAGGAGAATATTAAAAGTATCATGGACTGCCAAACGAACAAACCAATCTGTATTGGAAGATGTGAAGCCAGAATGTTCCTTGGAAACCAGGATGGCCAGACTTAGTCTCTCATACTTCAGACATATTATCAGGAGGGACCAGTCCCTGGAGAAGGAAATCATGTTTGGTAAAGTGGAGGGTCAGAGAGGAAGATGAAGATGGATTGGCACAGTGGCAGTAGCAATGGGCTCGAATGTAGTAAAGACAGTGAGATTGGTACAGGATGGGGCAGTGTTTTGTTCTATTGTGCTTAGGGGCTCTATGAGTAGGTACCAGCTTGGTGGAACCTAACAAATAACAATAGCTAAGTGCAACATTGATGGTTAAAACCCACCAACATCTCTGAGGGAAAAAAATGATGCTCCCCGCTCCCATAAAGATTTATTATCAGAAATTCTATATGGGGTTGCTATGAGTCAGAATTGACTTGATGGCAGTGGTTTTGTTGTAGTTGTTGTCTGTTTCATGGTGAAAGCGAAGATAAATGAATTCACTTATGTGAAAAGCAACAATGCCTGGCACATAAAAAATCCTCATCCTATGTAGCAAAGAGTCCTGGTGTGGTGCTGTAGGATAAGCACTAGTCCGCTAACAAAAGGTTCAAACCCACCATTTGCTCCATGGAAACCTTCTGCAGAGTCAATAAGGTTGGAATCAACTTGATGTACTTCACAACAGTAATTATTACATAATACTTTAACACACCTTTAAAAAGAAAATACTTAAAGATGCAGCTTTTAAAAAAAATGAAAACCAACACTATGACTTCTGTAAACAGATGTAATATTTTCTTCTCTTTTCAACAAGAGAGAGAACATGGAAAACTTTCTTTTGAAAACTCCTGGAGCAATATTTCCATTAATTGGAAAATATTCAATTGCATCTAAGAAAGAAGACAGATTTTAAATGATCAAGTTCTTGTTGTTATCAAGTGCCATTGAGTCAGTTCTGACTCATAGTGACCTGTATAAGGCAAAGAGCGACTGGTGAGTTTGAATTACCGATCTTTTGGTTCAAGTTGACCTTATGGTCCAGTGCTTATCCTATAGTGCCATACCAGGATTTCAAATGATCAAGAGCCACTGATAAAAATATTAAACACAATTCAAATAGCTATCAGGTCAAAGAACTTCACCAGACATTGTAAAAGTTTTCTTCTTGTACCGTAACTAGAAAATGTGTGAAGAACATAATCAAAAAACATAAACAAAACTTAAGAAAATAATTATAAGTGGAAGGACATTAAGTAAGAGAAGCTTAGACCAAAACCAAACCCACAGCCATCGAGTCCATTTGGATTCATAGCAACCCAGTCATGACACGAGCTGTTTATTTTTATTAATTTAATTTTGAAAAGACGCAGATTCTGTGCCTAACCCTTCCGTTATACTTGAAAACAGATTCAATATAAACTTCCTCAAACTAAATTTAACATTCCAACAGACCTGCCAATAATTCGTTTCTAAGCTTTCTGAATATAAATAGCTAATATTTATGAGCTAATCATATTATTTGGAAGGTTTAAGATTATATTAAAAGGTAGTTTGAGGATTCCAATGTTACCACAGTGGAACTGATATCAAACTTTTGGATATTTTTTCAAATCCCACATCTTCTCTGGACTTCATAACTGTTTGTCATTTCATTTCATTGCCTTGCAATGAAGCTCCTAGTTGAATATCACAAATTTATAATTCACCCTCTAGACATTCATTTGGGGGTAAGGTAAGTCTGCTCGCTATGAAGAACTTGGCTTGAAGTCTTGCTTCCTCCTTCATCTTAGTTTTGAAACAGGGTGGTAAGAAAGGTTTAACGTGAACTGTGCCATTTTGCCACTAGATGGCAGACGTGACCAGGAAATACGTCTCCGTGAAGCAGTCTAGACTAACCAGTTGGCGGAACGCGTCTGTGAGGAATAGAAAGGAGATACCCACCTCATCCATAGAAGACTTTTTACAGTCATCGTCATCATCATCGTCGTCACTATCGGTGTCAGCTTCCCCTGTCAAATTCAATAACAAACCGTTAAGTAAAAAAAAAAACATACACAGATTTAAAGCACATGTAACATGCATTACCAGAATTGACTGCAAGGTTCCTTGAAGATTGGGCTTTCCAATTATGGATTTACATTGTTTTATTTACAAAGTTTTCTACTAACATTTTGAATGTTGATTTTTTTCTAAGTTCGATTTACGAATACCATTTGAGAATTCCAAATTTCCTAAATGCTTGCTGAGTATGGCTTTGTAGGATAAGCTTTGGACTGTTAGTCGAAAAGTTGGCGTTTCAAACTCGCCAGCGGCTCCTTGGAAACTCCATACAGGGTCACTAAGAGTTGGAACAGACTGCATGGTACTTAACAACAACAACAACAACAACAGTTAACTGCAAGGTAGGCAATTCAAATCCATCAGCCGCTCCTTGGAAACCCTATACAGGTTTGCTATGAGTTGGAACCGACGCAGTGGCACTTAAGAGCATGCATTTTCCTTATGTTTTTTTAAAACATGCAGTATTGTATATAGTTAGCTTTCTACACAAATTTTAATGTATACATTGGCTTATAGCCACTCTGACCCTAAAATAGACCAATGATCCATTTCTGGCTTGTAGGCACTCTGACCCTAAAACAGACCAATGATCCATTTATCCTCTTCTCCTCTTCCAAGCTCAGACACATCCATGGGTGACCACTATGCAGTCTGAAGGTCTGGCATCCAACTATTCTCATGCCACTCCAGAACTCATAGAAGTCAAGGAAGATGATATATAAGCAGGGGAAGAAAAACCGGGGGCGCCATATGATAAGCAGATAAGCACAGGGCTGTGAACCACAAGGTTGGTGGTTTGAGTCCACTAGCTGCTCTGTGGGAGGAAGATGAAGCTTTCTGTTCCTGCAAAGATGAAGAGACTTTAAACGCTATACAGGGTCACTATGAGTCAGAACAGAATCAGCAGTAACAATAGTAACATACTTTACAAAGATTGTTAAATTCCAATCATATTCTATGATTTACTTGGAAACTAATTTGATGGATGCATCACCTTCTAAACAAGAAATATATCTTAGAAAATATTCAAAGTATGTTTTGAGAGGTATTATACAATGCATGAAGGAGCTCTGGTAATGTAGTGGTTACGAATCGGGCTGCAGACCTCACAGTCAGGAGTTCAAAACTACCAGCTGTTCCACAGGAAAAAGATGAGGCTTTCTGCTCCCGTAAAGATTTACAGCCTCGGAAACCCTGTACAGGGTCGCTATGAGTCGGAACCGACTCCACAGCACATAACAACAAACAATGCATGAGCCTTAAGAGCCATTATGCTTGAAAATCTAACTGTCAGACACTCTCCAACAGACAGAGTCAAGTCAGCGAATTGGGTTCTTTTCCTAAGATTTAGTAGATGTTTTTGCTAGGCTACATATCCACCTTAGTCTGAAGCATTAAATTATTCCATAGTTCTTTAATTTATCCAGACACAATAATATTAGTATGCAAAAATATTCTTAAGTAGAAAGTAAAGAAGGCATAGTTTGCAATAGTTTTGATGACTGCTGCCAAGTTTTTGAGTTCATATAATGTAATAGCATGAATAGACCAGCAGGTGGCAATATTGACTCAATGATGACACAACTGGAGTTGGCAACTGGAGTCTGAAAAAAGCTATTCGGCTCAGATGTTGTTAAGCGCCATTGAGTCCGTTGGAATTGATAGGGACCCTGTATAGGGTTGCTGAGGAGCACTTGGTGGGTTTGAACTGCCAATCTTGGGGTTTGCAGTCCAGTGCTGTTCCTACAACACCACATATAAAACAAAGTACTCACATCGCTGTTCTCCAAGTAACTTATAAATGTTTTTATTTGTTTGATGAAGTTCAGTTACTGAATGATGGCAGTGAGCAAAGCATTTGTGAAATATCTTTCGAGGGAAAAGATTTCTGAACCAGTAAGTGTTATTAGAATGTGGCTCGATTACTTAAGAAAGCTACTGTAATAATTTATGATGCTGATATTTTGTTAAGCATAGATTATATTTTGTATAAAAACCACATTTTATTATATTAGAAATGCATTTACTTAGAGGTCTACATTGCCACTTCAAATTATTGTCAAATCAAATTTGTTGCTCCCAATTCTCTGTTACTCTTTTTTATTAGAGAGGAGATTCTTTCAATCAAATAATTTTAAAAAGACATTTGGAATAATTGTATGCAAAATGCTTCATGGGACACAACCATACACCAGTCATTTCAAATGTGCAATACAGATCTTTCAATGCCTTTTGTAGAAATGAAATAATTTCTCCTCCTTTAATAGTATAGCAGAAAATTAGTTTCCCTCGTAAGTCTCTGGAGGACTCTGAAGCAATTTTGGAGAGCCATAAAACCAGCTACTCTACTCTAGGTCTTTAAAACTCATTGCCCACCAGTTGATTCTAATTCATAGAGGACAGAGAACTATCTCACAGGGTTTCCAAGGCTGTAACCTTTATAGAAGCAAGCTGTCACTTTCTCCCATGAAGCCAACCACTGACCTCAGTTAGCAGCTAAGTGCTTTAACCGCTTGCCACCAGGGATCTAGTTCTTTAAGATAATGTAATTCTAGAACTGAATCCTGGAAAAAGCATCTGGCCACCAGGGTGTGTGAAAAGCAAACTAGTTTTGAAGTAAGATCTATTTTATGTTTTTCAAGTGACTTGAGTTCTCAACTATGTACAATATTTACTCTCCAGATAGTAAATTAGCAGTACTCTTTATTCAGGAGACTACCTACTTATTAAAATGTCCAAAATTTTCCATTGAAATAAACCATGATTACACAATAAACTTTGGGGCTAGCTTACGAAATCTACCAAATCACTAGCATATTGCTGTTTTTTTCTGTATGAAGCAATAATGTTCATTGCCTGTAAAAATCCTTACTTGTACTCTGCATCCAGTTAAGAAGACGGAGAGAACTAGAGGTGGGAAAACAGATGGTAAAAAAGCAAGCACCCACATACAAAGGAAGATTTCGATTTGCTTGCTAGGATTCATATTCAGATGATGTCAGGAAATAAGTGGCCTGTTCATAATATTTATTGTCAAACTTCAGAAAGAATAATCCTACTGAGAACAAGTTATTTTTGAGAGAAATTAGAATTTGAAATGCACATTCAATAGCTACAAAAAATTTTCCTCTCCTTTCAGTGAATTATGTAAGGATTTAAATTTAGACAGCCAAAGGAAAAACTGGCAAATAAGACAAGAAAAAAAAAAGAAACATAAATCAGAGTCTCTCAAGCCACTTTTTTTTTTTTTTCCTTTTTCTTTTTGGATTGTCCTGGAGGTTGCATTTAAATTATTATTTTGATTTTAAGGCATTTTAATTGATACTATAGTTGATAAGTAAACAGAAGAGTACACATATCATAAGTGAATAGTGTTGTATGTTTTCTACCAACTGAACAAACCTAAATATTCAGTATCCAGATCCAGCAAGAGAAAGAAAACATAACCCAGAAATCCCCAGAATCCCCCTTTGGGCTCCCTTCCAGTCAATTCACCCCAAAAGGTAACTATTACTTTGACTGATAAAAGCGTACATTATTTTTGCCTGTCTTTGCGCTTTATAGAAATGGATCCACCAAGCATAAACATTTGTATCTGACTTATTTTGTATATTACATTTAAGAGATTTATTACTGTGTAACCTGGGTGATGAGGATGGGCCCAATAGGATCACATGTGTTCTTAAAAGCAGAGGGCCTTTCCCAGCTGTGGTTTAAGGTAGGGTGTAACTATAGAGTCAGGGTCACAGAGATGGAGTATCATTAGCTTTGAAGATGAAGGCATGGGGACAGGAGCAAAAAAAAATCCGTGGGTGGCCTCTGGAAAGTGGACAGGCCAGGAAATGGACTCTCCCCTAGAGCCTTCTGAAAGGAGTGTAGCTCTGCCAATACCTCCATTTGAACCATTTGAGAGCCCTGTGAGACTTCAGACTGACAGAACTCTAAGACAAAAAAATTGGGTAGTCTGAGGCCACGCACATTGTGGTAAATTGTTACAGCAAACAGAGGAAACGATACCATTAAAGACTGCTGAAATAGACATTTTCAAGTCCTTTCAGGCTTATTTCAGAGAAGTAATTCCTTATTAGTATTATTATTTTAATTGTGAGTTGGGTGAAACTTTATAGAGCAAATTGGTTTTCCATCCAACAATTCATACACATTTTGTTTTGTGTCAATGATTGCAAGCCCTGCAATTTAATAGCATTCTTCCCACTTCCTCTCTGTATTTATCATTTCCCTTCTTTCCTGTCCCTGGGAAGATGCTGACTGGTCCTCTCTGGCTGATTGTTCTAAGGACTGAGTACCCCCATGGTGTTATCAGCCTGTCTGCCGTTTAGCAGAAATTTGAGCAACAGAGGTGAATTCAGCTCTAGGCTTGAAGGGTGTCTAAGGGCCATAGTCTTTGGGATTAGTTCTTCTAGTCTTTATTTAACCAGTAAAGCTGGTCTTTTTTTATGATTTTAAGTTTTGTTCCACACTGCTCTACCACTCTACTCAGGCCCTTCTACTGTGAGCCCAAGCAGAGCAGTTAGTTGGTAGTGATAGTCCGTCATCATCTAGTTCTTAGGGTAGTGGCGGCTGCAGTTTGTATGATCCATTAGTTCTTTATATTACCTGTTTCCAGTAATCTTCAGTTACTCCACACTTTTTCGCTCACAAGGTTTTAAGACCCCAAGTTGCTACTCACCAAAGTAGGCTATAGACCATTATCTTTGTGAACTATATTGTGCTAACTGACGCATACTCATTCTCTCAAGGTGTTTGGCTTTGGACACAATGTTTTCATAACTTTGCCCCTTATACTATACGCAGAGCAGCAATACTTAAGCCCCAGAGAGTAATGGGTACTAGACTGATGCGGCCCCTCACCAGCTCCCGGAGACGAGGGCTCGAAGACACTGGAGGAGTCACTGCAAGTGTTGGAGGCTTGTTCCGACAGCTTCTTTTTGCCACTTCCTTCCGATGACTTGTGTGATTTCTTTTTATTTTTCACCAAAATTTTGTACATCAAGTCCATGGGGCTTGGAAGAGGAACTCCAGATTCCAGCTAAAGGAAAAGAAAAGCATATTTTGTAAAAATACTGCTTCTTCTTTCCAGATTCCACTCCAACCAAACACCCAACAAAGCTTAGGAGACCAAGAATGTCTAGATTTTTTTTAAACTGCCTTCTACACTCCAATGAAGGAGCTCTGGTAGCATAGTGGTTAAGAGTCAGGCTGCGAACCTCAAGGTCAGCAGTTTGAAACTACCAGTTGTTCTGTGGGAGAAAGATGAGGCTTTCTACTCCTGTAAAGATTTATAGCCTCAGAAACCCTGTACAGGGTCGCTATGAGTCTGAACCGACTCCACGCTGAGTCAGAACTGATACCACCACCTCCACCACACTCAAATGGCTCCAAGTATGTCATACATGCACTTAGTGAGTTGCTCTTTCTGTTGTTGTTGACAGGAAAAAATATATTTTGATGATTTTTACTATGATTTTTCTACAACAGAATCTACATGAATAAAATAATTGAAATATACTGGTAGAAATCTCTTGCGAGATTTCCCATGGACCAGGTAAACCCAACCTGAAAATAAAAACCCACTGCTATTGTGTTGATTCTGACCCATCGTGAGCCTATATAGGACTTATACGAGCAGACAACCTTATCTTTCTCCTGCAGAGCAGTTGGTGGGTCATGGGTTTGAACCAATGACCTTATGGTTAACAGCCCAGTGCCTAACCCAAATAGCCAAAGTCATTTTGATTTAGGAGAGATGAAAAGGTCTTGCTCTGAATTGGAAAAGTAGATGAGCCAGTTAGATTGTGGCTTCTGTCAGGAGGAGTTGGTAAACACAGGCAAAAGCTTCCAAATAGGTCAATGGAATCAAGGTTCCAGAAGCTGTAAAACAAAAAAAGAAAAACTGCAAACTAACCCCCTCACCCCAATCCAGACACTCAGTCCTTTAGCTGTAGTCCCTTAGCCTGATGTTCCAAGAGAACTAAATAGCTTCCTGCCATCCCGAGAGTCACACCACCATTATTTGCAAACCTTATTTCTAGTGTTTCAAGCTTGCACATCTAATGGGAAGATCAATGTCCCATGAGAGGGTTATTAGATATTGTATCAGAGAGCATGTGTGTAAGTCACAAGACAGGTTATTTTTAGAAAATCTATTGAATTCCCATAAGTGAATCCTCTTCTTTGCTTGCAATGGGTCTGGGAACTAGTGTGAACGCACTTAGGGATATCTGGAGAAAAAACAAATGGGAAGCTAAGGGAAGAATTGATTTAGGCTGTTCCTGCTGCTTCCTTCTGCAGCATCAATAGGAGAGCCAAGTCCTGCTGTACCTGAATGCCCATACAAGGAAGTAAGCAGCAATTAGGAGGCACAAACCACCTGCAATGCTTCATTACACCACCCATTTCTATCCAAGGGGGTTATGAGGTTCCCTGGAAAGTGCTATCCACTCAGAACTATCCACTCAGGACTGTTGGTATAGACTCATTATAATTGATGAGAATTGTGTCTTCTTGATGGAGTTGTCCCTAGCCAAGAAGGAAGGACAAAAGAGAGAAGACATGTCTCCCTCCCTCCACATTACCAGCATCTTCCTGGTCAACCTGTTCCTTATCAGCTATATTAATCTCATCAAGTACTCTAACCATAGAAAGGGAAGTGAGGAAATTTTCCCTCAACCCCTAACCAACAAAATCCAAACGCCCTGTCATGGAGTCAAATCCGACTCATGGCAACTCCATGTGTTACAGAGGACAGCTGCTCTATAATGTTTTCTTGGTTGAAGTTTTTATGGAAGCAGATTACCAGACTCTGATTCCTTAGTGCTGTTGCCTGGATTCAAACCAATAACCTTGAGGTCAGTAGTCAAGTACAGGCTTTTTGGGCAAACTAAGGACCTCTACCCTTACCCCACCCCTTGTCCAATTATAAATAATATACATGTTCCTTCAGGGTCAAACCTCAAAATTACTTACTGGGTATTTTTCCAGTGGTTCCATGAGAAGGGAATCCCCAAATATCAGTCGGCAGTACTCTGCCATCTTGGCTTGCTGTTTTGGGCTAAGGAAGAACAAGAGAGAAAGAAGCAGAAAAAAAAGGGCTTATTCATTGGTCATCCAGGCTCAGCTTTTGTCATTCTAAATCTCCTGTTTATTATCCTGACTTCTGAGAATCAAAATAAAACCAACAGGTGTATGATGATGGCAGGGGTCAGAAGCCTGCTGATAAGGCAGACCTATCCAGACACAGGTGGAGGGGACGGCAGGACACTGGCCCGCCACTGGATTTTGGAAATGTTCAGAGCCACTCAACCCCTTTTGTTGAATTCCCTGATTCTAAGTCAGAGAGCTGCAAGATGCTTGGAGGGGGAGCTTGCCTCGGTGTGAATTCCTGGGTGAAATTCTGTCCAAATTAGAGAGAGCTGAGTTTGCAAGGGAATGTTTATAAGGAAGTAGGTGAGGGTTGGGAAGAGAGAGATACAGAGAGAGGGGAGCGGAGGTGAGGAGAGAAGAGAGAGAAAAATGGGGAGAAAGGGAGAGAGAAAGAGAGAGAGAATAAAGATGTAAGAAAGGGCAGACAGTATGTGCAGTAGTTGAGTGGGAGGTGGGGGCACTGGAAGAAAGATAACAAGAGTCAGTCTCTTCGGGGAAGAAAGATGTCAGCTACTTTTAGGTGCATAATGGCGAAGTGAAGGAGGAATGAGCTTAAGTAGGAACCTGATCTGATGGAGAAAGGCAAAGCAGCAAGATTCCCTGGACTCTGAACCACTCTGCCTCTATCTAATGAGGGAGAAGAAGCACTGTTCTTGGAAAGAAACAAAGCATGCTGAGAAGATGAAATTAAGTAATGGATGCAAATGTATTTTACATACTAAAAGAATAGGGAAAAGGGAAAAGACAGAAAGGGCCATCTGCCAGCTATGCCAGACAACCTGCAAACCCAGCCCCATGTAAGCAGAGTCGATACACAAAAACATCTGTACAATCCTCTGGGTTTCCTTGACCCTTTTAAAAGGAATAAAATGTTTTTCTTATTTGGAAGACTGTTCAATATCACCATAGAGTTATTCTATTCCGTTGGGTTTTATGGGCGCTGATTTTGATCTACAGATTGTCAAACTTGATTTCCATAGTTATCTCTACATGCTGCAATATTAATACATTTCAGCAGAAGTGAGACTGTGCTAAAATAAGTAACAGTGATAAAAACCCTTCTTTATGACACTCAAAACTACTATAAAAGGGGGCTCTTATTTTTAGTCCCTCTTTTAAGAATGGTAAATCGGAACCACGAGCTGTTTTTTATTTTATTTTGTTGAGGGATGTATGCTTTATTATTTCAAATTAGAAGGGGCTTCAAAGAGTTCGTGCAAAAATTTCATTCTTTTCATTTAATTTTTCTACAAAATTTTTGAAGCTCCCTTGTATATTACAATAGTCCAGAAAGAAAAAACACTCTTTATGCCCTTTTTGTTTTCTTTTTTAAAACCAAAGCATGCATTTTGAGAACCACGTGAGTCCTGAGGTTCCAGCTTTGTTGCAACTGCAGGCAGAGATGCAAGAGAGATTCATTGAGTTTGCAAACTCTTCATCACCACCTCATGCCTTCTCATTGTGACTGCCTTTACTTGTATAAGAGTTTACTATGTGGTTTATGCAGCCTGAATAATATTCTGTAACATTCTACAGTAATGTCAGAGAGCAGGGAAGCTACTAATCAGAGGACCAATCCTAAAAAACATTGGATGTAGTCATTTAAGGACAGCTTGCTAGAAACTGTGTCAATGAGACCCTGGGGAGCAGGAGTGAGTGACTGATGAGCAGGGCACAGCCCTAGGCATGGTCAAGTTCAGATCTTGCTCAAACAATAACCCCATAGAGACTGTAACCTAGTCAGCTTCCTCTTTGGCTCCAGCTGACAAGTCCATTAATGCCAAGTCCACAATCTCCAGGTTGCACAAAAGAACTTCTTCAAACCTCACATGCACTTCACAAAACGACCCTATGAAGTATCATAGAGCTTTGCTCCTCCAAGTGTGGTCCATGGACCAGCAACACCAACACCATCCTGGACCTTGTCAGCAATGCAGATACATGTAGGGTCTCCTGTGCAGATTCTGAATCAGCAATTTAGGGGTCTTGGGCCTAACAATCTATGTCTTAGCAAGGCTTCTAGATCATTGTGATGCACGCCCAAGTTTGACAAGGTATAACTTGGGGTTTTCAAATCTTAAATAAGTTCCTTTGATCATACACCTGGAGTGAAAACCACAGTTTGTACCTTAGTGTCTGGCTTTCAGGATTTCCTTATGACCATAATTTGCATCAGGAGAGGGATCTGGGAAAGATTTTCCCTGGAAGCAGGGGACAGATGGCATCCTCTGTCAGGTGGTTCCTAAATCTGGCCCTGAGAAAGGACTCAGGGGGCCAGGACTCTACCTTGATTCCACTAATGAATCACCTGGCTTGTTAAGGATGAAGGTGGCAGGGTGGAGACTTGAGGGCTGGATTCACTGCACTGTGGGTGGAGCCCTGGAACCTGCATTTTAAATAAACTGGCAGACAATTCTGATGCAGGGGATTAAAGTATCACAGTGTTTAGAGACAGCTGTTTCTCAGTTCATAGCTCTCATTCAAATCCCCTGCAGATCTACTAACTGGGATGGGGCTTGAGACTGCATTTCCAACAAGCTTCCCCTCCCCGAGTGATGTAGATGCTGTTGTTCTGAGGGCCACACTCTAAGGAATAAGGATCCAAGTCTGAGTAAAACTTTGTCAAACTGGGATCAAAACTGCCTGTGACAGAGAGAACAAAAGGTAAATGACCCCCTTCAAAAACTTAAGGTAAAATATACTGTTCGTTAATCTGATCTTTCCTGTTCCCAGAAAAACCACATGCCCACCCAACAGAGAGGACACTAGACAGATTAAGTCAGGAAAAAACAAAGCAACTTTAACTAAAGTCAGAACTGCAGGAGTAAAAGACATTAAAATTGCCATGAGGGAGCAAAATCAAAACAAAACCCAGAAGCATGGAGAGTGTCAACAGCTGCTAGCATGGAGATGAAGGGAGTGGAAAAAAATCTCCAAAGACAGTTTTAGCTTTAGGCCATAGTAGACACTTCTAAACACATTAAAATAACCCTGAAGTGTACCCAAATCTCTAAAGTGGAGTCCTGGTTTGGCACTGTAGAACAAGCACTGAATTGCTAACCGCAAGGTGGGAGTTCAAACTTATCAGCTACTCTTCTGAAAACCTATACAGGGTTGCAATGAATTGGAACCAGTTCAACAGTGCTTCATTACAACAAAGGGTAGGCAGAGTTCCTAGGTAGTGCACAGCCTATGTACTGGGTTGCTGGCTGAAAGGTTGGAGGTTCAAGAATACCTCAGAGGTGCGTCTAAAGAAAGACCCGGAAATCTACTTATGAAAAAGTATTCACAGAAAATCCTATGGCTCTCAGTTCTATTTTGACAGACAAGGGGTCATGACAAGTCCCAGGTGACTCTATGATCACTGGTTAAATTGTGGTGGGGCTGTGTACCGTGGAGTTGGTTCCAATTCATAGCAACCCTGTATAGGGTTTCCAAGGCTTTAAAACTTTAAGGGGAGCAGAAAGCCTCATCTTTCTCTCACGGAGCAGCAGGCAGATTTGAACTACTGACCTTGAGGTTAGCAGCCCAACTCATAACCCCTATGCTACCAGGACTCCTTGGTTAAAGTGTGTTGTTGTTGTTGTTATGTGCCATTGAGTCATTTCCATCCCATAGCAAGCCTGTATAGAGTTTCCCATAAGAGACTGGTGAGCTTGAACCATTGACCTTGCCGTTCAAACTGATTTTGCAGTCCAGCGCATTAGTCCACAGCACCACAGTTGTCAGTATTCTAATCCAAGAATGTTTCCTGTTTCATGTGATGAATTTTTAAATGTTCCTACATCAAGGGGAGGGAACACCAAGTTGAACTAAACCATCCCTCTTTACAGATGAAGTATCTACAACCCATGAAAATGAAAGACTTTGGTCTTAAATTTTGCAGTTGTTTATAGCTGTACCAAGCCTAGAAGTCACTTCTCTTGAATTCCACACATTTTTGTAGTGCTAGCTGCTAGTGTAGTGGTTACGAATTGGGTAGCTAACCTCAGGGTCAGCAGTTCGAAACTACCAGCCATTCTGCGGGAGAAAGATGAGGCTTTCTGCTCCCGAAAAGATTTACAGCCTCGGAAACCTTGTACAGGGTCGCTATGAGTCGGAACTGACTCCACAGCACACAACAACAACAACCTGCTAAATTACATAGAACAGCACAGTCAGTTGTGAGTAGGATAGCTTTTTAAAAGACTTCCAAGTAGTAAAGGAGGCTGGGGTGTAGATAAGGGATCTGTATTTTTAAAAACACCCTGTGGGGTTTTGATGTTGCAGATGGAGAAGGGCATTTAGAAATCACTGTTTTCACTCTGCTAACAAATAACTTCCTCTTTATGAATTGGCTGCTTATCTCACAGTCAGAAGTTCGAATTTACCACTTGTTCCACGGGAGAAAGTTAAGGCTTTCTGCTCCTGTAAAGGTTTACAGCCTCGGTAACCCTAAGCAGGGTCGCTATGAGTCAGAACAAACTCCACGGCACATAACAACAACAACAATAAAATTCAATCCAACTGTTGCTCTGACATTAGGTTTCTGCCAAGCTTTAGGATAAGATCAAATATCCTGGAAAGGGTGTTGTGTTGTTAGGTGCCACCAGCGACCTTATGTACAGCAGAATGAAACACTGCCCGATCCTGGGCCAACCTCACTACTGTTGCCACACTTCAGTCCATCGATGCTGCCACTTGGCCAATCCATCTCATTGGGGGTCTTCCTCTTTTTCTCTGACCCTCCACCTTACCAAACATGATATCCTTCTCCAGCG